ATATAAAAGAGTAGCGTTACTGACTGACTGATTCATCATCGCACAGCCCAAAGGGCTGAACCTAAAATCATGAAATTATGACAGTAGTTGTGTTTTTGGTTATGCAGATCCACTAAGGAGGGATTTTTGGAAATTTGTACATTTACGGGTAAAAAGGGGAAAAACGGGTAAAACGGGTTTTCTTAATTATCTTACACAATATTAGTGATACAAGAAAAATTTTAAATGCACCTGTATCTACTCTTAAAATGAGCAAATGGGTGTCTGGTACTTTTTTGAAATTCGTACTTTTAAGGGGTAAAATGTGTAACAAAGGTGATTTTGGTACGTTTTTTGGCCCCTTATAACTTTTGAACTAATTAACATAATACATTTTTTATAAATATTTTGGATATATCTCCCAAAATTATGAGACACCTGTTTCGTACTTTTTTAAAATTCAGTCCTTTTTGGGTGTAAATGGGAGTAAACTGTATTTATGGTACTTTTTTTTGCACATTAAGAAAACTTTTTCGGTTTATTGAATTATTCCTATTAAATTACGGACTAACTCTGTAATATTTATTGTAATAAATTTTTTGCTATTTCACTGGGGAAAAAAGTAGCAAAAAGGGAAAAAACGGGAAATTTAATTTCATTCAAACTCATTGAGCCAATTTCTATAAAATTTTAAAAAATAGTTTATTTACTCACACAAAATAAGCTGTTTGTATATTATTTTGGAATTCGAGTACTAATTCCTATATAGGACCAAATTCGAGTAAATTGTTTGGTACTTTTTGAAAGCACTATTTTTCTGGAACAAATGAATGCAGATTTGAATCGTTTGAGTTTAAACTGTGATATATAGATTTAAATACGGAACATTTTGTAAACTTAATTCTCGAAAAAGTATATTTCTAAACGAAAAGGGGAAAAATTGTATTCTTTATTAGTACTTTCCACTTAGGTAAAATTTATTCCACTTTTGGTACTTTTTCTTTATTCAAATGATACTCTTTGTATGTTCTTTAATATGAATTCAAAACACATGATTATTAAACATACACGGTCCTCATTGAATACGATTCTTTAAGAGAGAACTTTTTAGTACTTTTTATCTCAGAAATGGTACTTTTTTAATTTTCTAAAATATTCAACCTAGGAACATTAATATTAACATACTTGACTGAATAATATTCTGTAAGTGGGAACTATTTGGTACTTTTCTATTCTTCAAATGGTACCTTTTAGATTTTTTATAATGGTTAAATGGAACACACGGTCCTTATTAAATGAGAATTTATTGAGAGAGAATTTTGTACTTTTTCGTTTTTCCGATGGTACTTTTTGATATTTTTACGATATTGAACATAGATATTGAAAATAAAATTTAAGATGTAGTGACCTTAGTGAATGAGAATTTACTGAAAGGGTCCTTTGGTACTTCTTCATTCAATAAATTATATTTTTTTAATTGTATATAATATTGAACACAGAAACATAAAATTTTTGATTAAATGAGAATCTATAAGAGGTATTTTATAGTACTTTTTTGCAAATAGTACTTTTGAAATTTTCTATAATGTGGAAGCTAAACGAATGAAACTAAAAATACAAGCTTTTTACTGAATGCGAATTTAATCACGTTATATTGAACGTAAAAAACTGAAACATTATAAAAATGTTTAATCAATTTTAATTTTTTATAAAAGTAAACAAAATTTTTTACGTATTTAATTTTGGGTTAGGGTAGCGAAGCACCCAGGGTATGCTAGTTCCTTATATTTTAAATATATTACGTCATCAAAAATTAAATAAAGTTAGAAATTAAATGCGTTTTTCGTAGAAAAGGAGTAAAAATGTAATAAATTTTGTGTGAACACATTTGAAACCCTATTGATATATGGATATTTTCTATTTTCCGCACGAATATTTCAGCATTTATTGGTATCAGCTTTTGCATTAATTACACGTCTAAGTCTACAATGGGGATTGTTTTCAATATTTCTTCTATTTTTCTTAAGATTCCTAACTCGTTTCCATGAAAACAAACACATATAAATAAAAATCCTACTCCAAAATGTAGTGCATTTTTAATATTTCTTTAGGTGTAAAATAGGAATAGAAAATTTTCGATAATTATACCCTAAACCACTATAGTAGGAAGAGTATTATGCGTTTGTGCTGATGTTTGTAACGCATTAAAATATTAGTACTATACCCACTTTAAGTATACCGATCGAGATCAGAATCACTTTCTGAGTCGATTTAATGTAAACGTTGTTATCAAAATACGGGTCACAATTTTCAAGATAAATTGATGAAATTTTGAATACACGTTTGTTTTGACCTAGCCTATTTGACGAAGCCTATTGAAAATGGTTAAAATCGGTTCATTATTTCACCTAGCCCCCATACAACTGAACCCCCCGAAAAGAGCTTTTGAGCTCATAATTATGTATAATACATATAAATGTATCTCGATGAAAGTTCGCACAGCTAAGTTCGATACAAGCATTTCGAAATGATCGGACTTCATTTGACCCTAGCCCCCATACAAAGCCCCCTTCAGAAAGTGACTTAAATATCCGCAATTCATTTCTTAAAACTGTTATTGCAATGAAATTTAGCACAGACAAATATTATATAAGTACAAATCTGTCCAGCCCATTTTATTTGGAACGGTCCACATTCGCTAATATCCCCCATACAAAGCCTATTTTAAAAAATTAGTTTTTCGTTAATAAATTACTTTTATAAATTGGAATCAAGGTAATATTCAAGATAATTATTATTATTAACAAGTAGGAAAGTATAGTCGGGCATGGCCGACCATATGATACCAGCCTACACCACTGAGTATGTTAAAAATGTGGATTATATTTAAAAACAAAGCATTTAAGTTGTTTACCTTAATTCCGAAATATTTTAACAATTTCTTGAAAAAAGTGATTTTCTAAAAGAGAGGTTATATGGGGGCAAGGGTAAATATGGGCCTATCCTTATAAATTTTGGTACATGGCTTTACGTTTACATTAGAGTTATGTATGCTGGATTTCATAGTGATACTAGTGTTTAACCCTTTCCGTGGTTTTGTCGAATATATTCGACATTACAGTAGACTCTGTTTTTAAGCATTTTTTGGGTATAATATTTAACTTTAGTTTTAATTTTTTTCTTTTAGATGAAAATGAGGACTTTATTATATTTATAATTGAGATTTTGAAAGATCTTCCGTATTTTAAAAGTATTTAAAAATCAGATTTTAAGAAATTGTCACTTATGACTACTTTTTAAAAAGTGCTTTTTAACAACGTTAAAAATCAGCTTCATTTAATGGCCAAAAAAATTGTATTTTAGGAGATCGGACTATGCGGATTTAAATTGTATTGCATTGAAAGAAGTTTAAGAAGACATTTTACAAAAAGAAAATTCATAAAAAATATTGGTGGTACTTTTTGGAGACTGTTTTTCGAATGTCGAATATATTCGACATTTAACTTTGACCTTCTATAACTCACTAGGGAAAACTCAAATTCAAAAAATATTATTTTTCCCGGATTCAGCATTCTCAAATTATCTTAAATATAAGTTTTCAAGTTTTTTTCTAGACATAAATTATTTTTGACCCTGAAAGGGTTAATAGTGAATTATTGACCTTCAAGTCATTTTCTGAAGGGGACCTTGTATGGGGGCTAGGGTCAAATAAAGCCCGATAATTATGAAAATTAGTAGTATTATTAAGACGTATATAGAACTAAGTTTTGCCGATTTTTGTAGAGATACTACAATATTTAACATAATTATGAACTCAAAAGCCCTTTTCGGGAGGTAGGGATGTATGGCGGCTAGGTGAAATAATGGACCGATTTCAACCATTTTCAATAGGCATCGTCGGTGGTGGAAAAACACGTGTGGTCCAAATATCACATCTAATATTCATAAATGGTGTAAGGTATCATATGGTCGGGTACGCCCAACTATACTTTCTTACTTATTTTTCTTCTATTTTGTGTACACATAATTAAACTAATATTTATTTATTTATTCATTAATTAACAAAATTAGTTTAAAAAAAAATTTTTTTATAAAATTAGCAGGAATTTAATTTATTATTACTACACGAATTAAAATAAATTTTCTATAAAAAGAGAATTTATCGAAAAATGTTTAACAATATGACTCCGTTGGTTAGTAGTCATATTCTATCAGACAAAATGTCATGGGTTGAAATCCCACCAGAGATACTAGTTAAGTAGCGCAGAAGGGATCCGATGAAGACCTAAGTACAATTCTTCGATTTTAAACTAACTAATAAACTAACTGTAATTTAGTTAACCAATTACTTACCAATTAGAATAGGGACGTCTGCGGGCATGTTAAATTTTTATGGAAATGCGAAGGATTATTCTTTTTCAAATACTTACTTAAATGCCAATAAAATACTAAATAATTAATACAAAAAAATGCATATTCCTGTTAAGAAATTGAATATTTGGATGGTATTTTATATTTTCGTTGAATATTTAATACTTAAGAATATATATTTTTTTACTTACAATGTAAGATTTAGTTACATATTTACAAATGTTCCTAACAACTGTAATAAAATTGTAACATCTAATAAATGGAAGTTTATAAACAAAATGTATAAAAAATTTGATTAAAATTTAAATTTGATTATTACATTTCTTGAACTTTTAATTCAACAAACATACATGTTTTACAATTTATCAATTAGTAAAAATTTCATGTACTTATGTACATATGTAATTCTTTTTTTTTTCATATTAGTTTTGGCAATTAAAACTTATAATTATATTAACATATTTATACATATTTATAATTTTTATCTAGAAAATTTGCTATTAGATTATTTATTTATTTATTATAATAGAATAATATATGTGGTTTATAAAAAAATTCGTAATTTTTTTTTCTCAAGGTTTAAAATATAATTTTATATTTGATTTGGTCTAAAATTTATTTAAATTTACTTTTCAATTATTTTATACAATCACAGGCGTGAGGACACAAACACGTTTACAAACATCTAAAAAGGAGAATATGAGATAACAAGAACTAAAATAATAATTAAATACAAGTAACAACATAAAAACATTTATTTTAATTTTCATAGTATTTTTTTAAAATTTTAATTATTTCTTTTGTGTATGGTTGGTTTGTAAATGTCTAGAGCTATGAGCTCTTAAATAATATAGAAAAAAGATTCTTATAAAATTGTTAAAATGCTGTATAAAAACATAAAAATTAATAAGGATACTAATTTAAACGTTTTGTAATTACATGATTGTAATTCCCCTATAATATTTTCTTATTTTTTCGTTGTTGTATAAAAGTAAAATATGTTTTAATCAGGCTCCATTTAAAATATAATTTACTTTTCTTTATTTTAAATATTGTTTTGGTATTTTAATTTAACACTACCAACAGCCAGCAGCAAAATTCACGGTCATAATGAATGAAAAAGAAAGCAAACACAAACACGTAAGAATGTATAGTCGGGCATGGCTGACCATACCAACAAACCAACCTTATACCAGTGAGTATATTAAAAAAAATGTGGATTATTTTTTATAAAAAGTCATTTAAGTTGATTTTACCTTTATTCCGAAATATTTCAGTAATTTGTTAAAAGTTAAAGTTATTTATGCAGAATTTCATAGTGATTCTAGTGTTTATAGGTGAATTATTCTTCAAGAAAATATCTTCAAGTCGTTTTCTGATGGGGACTTGGTATGTTCAAATGAGACCCAAAGCCCCATTCGAGGGGTACGGTTGTATGGGGGGCTAAGTAAAATGTGCCGATTTCATTAATTTTCAGTACGGATAGACGGACGTAGCTTAATCGATTCGGAAAGTAATTATGAGGCGATTGATATACTTTAAGTTGGATGTAGGACCAATATTTTTGAGTGTTACAAACACCAGTACAAACGCATTATACACATCCTACTATAGTGGTGTAGGGAATAATATAGAAAACACTTGGGTAGAGATTTTTGACATAGAAGATTTCTATAAACACGTCAAGGTCTGGAGAGTAAAAGTTTTAGTTTATGGAAATGGTGTGGATTATTTTAATAAAAGTTGGTTTACTTGAGATCCCCTTATTACCCCATTCTGAAGTTTTAATATACTACACAAGCGGCTTATCAAACATATTTTTTCACTCGCACACACACTACACAAACATTGCTCGTACAAACACCGATTTTTTCACGTTTTTGTGGACTTGCAAAGATACAGATGACAAATTTTCTTAGAAATGTAAATTTTGTGAAAAATTTGTTATTAATAAATATAAACAAACGGTTTGAAAAAAATTCAATATGTTTGTGTAAATATCAAATTTTTTAAATTTTTATACAAACAAACAGCAAGCATTTGTACAAACACGAAACACTCTCATACACTACACAACAGGCTTGCACAAACGTAAAATATTGGTATGTTTGTCAAGCCGCTTGTGTAGTCTATTTGGGCCTTAAGCAATCTTATGTGAAGAATGAAAGAAAGTTGAAGGTACGTTTTTTGAGATATCCTTAACTAAAGGACGTTTTTCGATTTCATTACCCTTACGTTATAACTATAATATTTTAAATAAAGTATTGTCAAAGTACAAGATGTAGACTTTAATTTGGGACTAAAGCGATTAAAAAATGTGAACATTGAACCTTGATAAAATCTAAACTAATACGTAAGTCCGTGATATTACGTAAAAAACATGTAAAATGGCCTAGATCAAATATGGCGCAGGCAGGTGTAAATACAATTTCTGGTACCTAATGGCGAATACGGGAGTTATCTACTGAACAGGATGTTTTCAAAATTGATTTGTTTGTTATATATTTCGTTAGGTATTCGATACTAAAAAGTATCGAATTTTCTGTTACAGAGACGACTCTAAGCGTAAGCAATGTGTAAGTCCATGACAATTGCAAAACCGTTACAGCCAAGAAGAGCGGATTTGAAAGTACAGGCAAGAGAATCCTAGTCAACCGCATTGAATGATGTAATTGTAAGGTGTACCACCAACGTAAGCGCTCCTCAGTAGGAGAAAGTCAAATGTTAGTATATACAGGACTACGATACAACTTCAGCAAATTGTGCGAACGAAATATGAGAAATACAGGGCATGTTGTGTGCATAATGAAATACTTTAACATTTGCTCTGCCATCGCCTTTGTCAAACTTAGGGATTTTTTTTCGAAATTTTGAATTTATTTAAAAAATATCTTCAATTGATGAAAAATACCCAGAAGCTATTTTGTACAATTCTAAACATTGCTATACATATGATACTGAGTGTGCTCCTCTTTTATACCTTAATATTTTACCCTTATTTTAATTTATTTTCATCAGTGCTCAACAGGTCGAAATTATTAGAAATTTGGAATCCCGTTATACATACATTTACTAGTTATTGATCCCTTTAAGGGGCCTTTACACGATCACACTTTACGTACGTAAAGTCTAATGAAAAAGTAATATGAAATTCCATCTGTATGACAAAAGTCGTATGATTTAAATATATTTGTGTTTACACGATTGGTATAAAACAATAACAAAGTAAGATGGAAACAACTGTCCCACTTTTTTTTATGTGTTTACATAAAAATACATCCCTACATATTACTTGTGTGCTCTTGTAAAGGGCGCTTTACGAACATACCTCGAAAAACATTTACCGATTTATTCCCCAACTTAGTTCATCTTAGCGGCTGTTAATTCCTCTTTCTTTACCAACCTACTAACCTTTTTTTCATATACATGTATGGGGGATTTCATGTCAAGTGACTCAACTTTTGAAACCTAAAATTTTTTAACAAGATCGGTCAAGAACTTTCTGAGTTACAGTGGGTCAAATTTTGATATTTTTACCCAACACGTGTTTCTTCTTATAGACTTATTGCTATATTTAAATAATAATTTAAAACTATTATTAATCGGAAGACATTGGTTTCAAAAGTTGGGTCACTTGACATGAAAACCCCCATATATGTATATATATATATTGAAACTTTTGTATCCGGAGACAAATCTGTATGCCTTTCGTAGGTATATTTTACAAAAACTTTTGCAGAAATTTTACTTCAACGGGAGTTATATTGCGAATATAAACTTGTAGAACTGAAGATTATATTTGTTATAATAATTACTAAATTTTGTATGATACTTTTTGTATCAAATGCTTATATGGTTCACAAGTAATTCTAATACTAAAAACATTACATTTCACTCTATTAATTCCTTCTGTCAGTTACTACAAAGGTTTCGCTCACAATCTCTTGCACAGCAATTTTTCTTGCGTTAAAATGGCTTTAATTACACGTTAAATTCGAATTCTTGTTAAATCATTAGCATTAATAACGAGCTGGAAACAAAATTAAATTTAATAAAATAATTTTAATGTCATTTTAAAATTATAATGGTATAACTTTTGCAAATAAATTCAATTGTATTCACTCACCAGTAAAGTAAAATTGTTAAAATAATTTAAGTTTCAAGTTTATGTGCAAATGACCTTCATGAATGTTGCTGAATAAATATTAACAATTTTATGGAATCTTTTTTTTTTTTTTTTTTTGCTTACGTTAATGAAGAAATATTTAAAATTTCATTAAAAATTACATTTAAGAAAACAGAAACTAATGAGCAGACACTAGTAATTGAAAGTGGAAGTAATTATAGAATTGATGATAGTACAATAAAAAAACATGCAATTTACAATCAACTAACATAAATTAACAATTACAAACTACATTATAAATACAATTTAGTTTTTTTATTTTTAAAATAATTATGTATAAATATATATTTTTAATTTATATATAAATGTTAATATTTTTAAATATGTATGCACAAGTGTAGAAGTGTTTATTTATATTATATTTTAAACAGATTAATTATTATTTGTTTTTGAATTTATTCAAAATTTTCATTGTTTGATATTATTTTTAAATAATAAAAATAATGCTAACTTGTTTTAATGTTCAGCGATGTTATTGATAAAAAGTGTTGGTTTTCTTTGTTAGTTAAAAAATTATTTTTCCATTTATTAAATTATTTTTCTTTGCTTTAATACACCAGAAATTATATTCAAAGTGTATGAATATATGTATGTAAGTAATGTATTGTTTGTATGTCAGTTGGATTTTGTTCATTATGAAAACAAGTTACTTAGTAATGGCAAGTTTTTGTCTGTATCTATTACCTAATGCATAATAAATTTACCGCATTACTAATGTTGTCACTTCTGTTGACATGGGATTTTCGGTTAATGCCACCGACTCGGTAACAGCACTGCGTAAACCATTGGTTGTTGTATTATTGTTGGATGTACCCAATCGTCCAGCATCACCGTTCTGACCAAAACCAACACTGCTTAATAGCTTCAGATCACCTTTGGATATGTCATTGTGTTTCCTTTTCCGTCGTGATTGAGCACCTCCTGTTGTATGACCATTAAGAGCAATATTAGTGTTTTCTTTAGAACGGCATAATATTTCTTTAAATTCTTTACGGAAATTATCATTCAGCCATCCATACAGCAGGGGATTCGAACAAGCCGAACTCATACCAATCATGTGACAGAAGGCGTACATCACCAGCATATCGTTGGTAACAGCCGGACGTTTCATATCCGCATACAAATTGAAGAAATTCAAAGGCAACCAGGACACACCAAAAATAATCGCAATACTAATGAGTAAACAATTTGTGCGTTTCATACGTCTGCCACGTTCAATATTACGTTGGGTTGACGTTGTCTGTACGGTAACCACAGTAATGCGATTTTTCAATTTATTATAGATGCCAAAATAGGCACCTGATACTATTAGTATTGGTACTAAATATTGAACACACAACGAGAACATGGAGTAATAGAAGCGTCCATGATTCATTGGCCAATCTTCAATACAGAAAGATACATGGTGTATGCCCAGCGCTTGTAGGGAGATTATGGATGATATGAAACTTATTTGTGTCAAATTTCATCGCTATGCTTTTAAACAAGATATGCCAGTTAAAGCTATTTTTCGGGGGTCCACTTGTATGGGGGCTATCCGAAAACGTGGACAGTATTGCCCATTATCAATACCAAACAAACCTTATCTCCTTATCAATCCTCTAGCTCATTCGGACTCTATAGTGGACGGATGGACAGACATGGCTAGATCGTCTTAGAATTTAATAAGGACCCAGAATATATATATACTTTGTCTAAAACCAATATTTCGATGTGTTACATCGAAATATTAAAGAGTTTTTAATGTGCTTTCAACCTCAAATTTTAAATAAATTCTCTGTAATGTATTAATGGTGGGAAAGCTAGTACCAATGTGCATATCGCCGGTTGCTTAAGCGGGAAAAATGCGGTTTTTATTGAGGTTTTTTCACAAATTTCACAAAATGCAAAAGTAAAGTATTTTCAATATCTATCTCTTTTGACGTAGTTGTACTATTGTAATATATTTTCTTGTTACAATATTTTTAAAATGAATTTGTTTTGATGCTTATGCATTTTTGGGTGTCTTTATGAAAGTGTTCTTCCTATTCAAGCCCAACAAAAACTCGGTAATGACTTTTACTTACACAAATACTTAATTTTCAATGACTATTATATACCGTCTGCTTTTAAGTGCTCTTATAATGACTTATATATAATCAGATACATACGTAAGTTTTTATACCCTCCACCAGCATCAGTGGTGATAGAGGGTATATATAACTTTGTCATTCCGTGTGTAACACCAAGAGATATTCATCTGAGACCCAACAAAGTATATTATTCTGGGTCCTTATAAAATTCTGAGTCGATCTAGCTATGTCCGTCTGTCTGTGTAAAACACGCTCACGATAAAACGAAGCAATAGAATTTAACCAAATTCACCCAAAATGTTCTTAATTTTCCTAAGTTGTTTGGTATTAAATGAGCAAAATCGGTTCACACCGGGAAAAGTTATGAATCAAAATTTAAAACAACTTCGAAAAAATAAGCATTTTTTACACATTCTGATGTAATTTTTTATAAACTATGCAAGATAATTCCATGAAAATCACCATACATTTAATAGTCGAATCTCATTTAACCCTATCAATTCACTTAAAACAATAATATAGAGTTTCTGTTTTTTATTTTCTTCATAAGAATCTAAAATTCATTTTTCTAAAATTGCAGCTCACCTGAAACAGGATCACCTGCCGGAAAACAGTTAAAAGTTGTATACAGAAAAATTAGCATTAAAAAGCCTAACCTGGCAACACTGGCTAAATGGTACCATATATTTCAAAGAAATATGCGCACAATTAAACTAATATAAGTTCAGTTAAATACCTGAAAACAATTATTTCAGTTAACATTTGTCAGAATTTAATTAATTATAATACTTACAGTGACTTCCACAACTGTTTTAAAAAACATTAAATTAAATATTTTTAGAATTAAAAATTTTTTCCAGTGGGATAAAAATTTAATCTATATATATAAAAGAGTAGCGTTACTGACTGACTGATTCATCATCGCACAGCCCAAAGGGCTGAACCTAAAATCATGAAATTATGACAGTAGTTGTGTTTTTGGTTATGCAGATCCACTAAGGAGGGATTTTTGGAAATTTGTACATTTACGGGTAAAAAGGGGAAAAACGGGTAAAACGGGTTTTCTTAATTATCTTACACAATATTAGTGATACAAGAAAAATTTTAAATGCACCTGTATCTACTCTTAAAATGAGCAAATGGGTGTCTGGTACTTTTTTGAAATTCGTACTTTTAAGGGGTAAAATGTGTAACAAAGGTGATTTTGGTACGTTTTTTGGCCCCTTATAACTTTTGAACTAATTAACATAATACATTTTTTATAAATATTTTGGATATATCTCCCAAAATTATGAGACACCTGTTTCGTACTTTTTTAAAATTCAGTCCTTTTTGGGTGTAAATGGGAGTAAACTGTATTTATGGTACTTTTTTTTGCACATTAAGAAAACTTTTTCGGTTTATTGAATTATTCCTATTAAATTACGGACTAACTCTGTAATATTTATTGTAATAAATTTTTTGCTATTTCACTGGGGAAAAAAGTAGCAAAAAGGGAAAAAAACGGGAAATTTAATTTCATTCAAACTCATTGAGCCAATTTCTATAAAATTTTAAAAAATAGTTTATTTACTCACACAAAATAAGCTGTTTGTATATTATTTTGGAATTCGAGTACTAATTCCTATATAGGACCAAATTCGAGTAAATTGTTTGGTACTTTTTGAAAGCACTATTTTTCTGGAACAAATGAATGCAGATTTGAATCGTTTGAGTTTAAACTGTGATATATAGATTTAAATACGGAACATTTTGTAAACTTAATTCTCGAAAAAGTATATTTCTAAACGAAAAGGGGAAAAATTGTATTCTTTATTAGTACTTTCCACTTAGGTAAAATTTATTCCACTTTTGGTACTTTTTCTTTATTCAAATGATACTCTTTGTATGTTCTTTAATATGAATTCAAAACACATGATTATTAAACATACACGGTCCTCATTGAATACGATTCTTTAAGAGAGAACTTTTTAGTACTTTTTATCTCAGAAATGGTACTTTTTTAATTTTCTAAAATATTCAACCTAGGAACATTAATATTAACATACTTGACTGAATAATATTCTGTAAGTGGGAACTATTTGGTACTTTTCTATTCTTCAAATGGTACCTTTTAGATTTTTTATAATGGTTAAATGGAACACACGGTCCTTATTAAATGAGAATTTATTGAGAGAGAATTTGTACTTTTTCGTTTTTCCGATGGTACTTTTTGATATTTTTACGATATTGAACATAGATATTGAAAATAAAATTTAAGATGTAGTGACCTTAGTGAATGAGAATTTACTGAAAGGGTCCTTTGGTACTTCTTCATTCAATAAATTATATTTTTTTAATTGTATATAATATTGAACACAGAAACATAAAATTTTTGATTAAATGAGAATCTATAAGAGGTATTTTATAGTACTTTTTTGCAAATAGTACTTTTGAAATTTTCTATAATGTGGAAGCTAAACGAATGAAACTAAAAATACAAGCTTTTTACTGAATGCGAATTTAATCACGTTATATTGAACGTAAAAAACTGAAACATTATAAAAATGTTTAATCAATTTTAATTTTTTATAAAAGTAAACAAAATTTTTTACGTATTTAATTTTGGGTTAGGGTAGCGAAGCACCCAGGGTATGCTAGTTCCTTATATTTTAAATATATTACGTCATCAAAAATTAAATAAAGTTAGAAATTAAATGCGTTTTTCGTAGAAAAGGAGTAAAAATGTAATAAATTTTGTGTGAACACATTTGAAACCCTATTGATATATGGATATTTTCTATTTTCCGCACGAATATTTCAGCATTTATTGGTATCAGCTTTTGCATTAATTACACGTCTAAGTCTACAATGGGGATTGTTTTCAATATTTCTTCTATTTTTCTTAAGATTCCTAACTCGTTTCCATGAAAACAAACACATATAAATAAAAATCCTACTCCAAAATGTAGTGCATTTTTAATATTTCTTTAGGTGTAAAATAGGAATAGAAAATTTTCGATAATTATACCCTAAACCACTATAGTAGGAAGAGTATTATGCGTTTGTGCTGATGTTTGTAACGCATTAAAATATTAGTACTATACCCACTTTAAGTATACCGATCGAGATCAGAATCACTTTCTGAGTCGATTTAATGTAAACGTTGTTATCAAAATACGGGTCACAATTTTCAAGATAAATTGATGAAATTTTGAATACACGTTTGTTTTGACCTAGCCTATTTGACGAAGCCTATTGAAAATGGTTAAAATCGGTTCATTATTTCACCTAGCCCCCATACAACTGAACCCCCCGAAAAGAGCTTTTGAGCTCATAATTATGTATAATACATATAAATGTATCTCGATGAAAGTTCGCACAGCTAAGTTCGATACAAGCATTTCGAAATGATCGGACTTCATTTGACCCTAGCCCCCATACAAAGCCCCCTTCAGAAAGTGACTTAAATATCCGCAATTCATTTCTTAAAACTGTTATTGCAATGAAATTTAGCACAGACAAATATTATATAAGTACAAATCTGTCCAGCCCATTTTATTTGGAACGGTCCACATTCGCTAATATCCCCCATACAAAGCCTATTTTAAAAAATTAGTTTTTCGTTAATAAATTACTTTTATAAATTGGAATCAAGGTAATATTCAAGATAATTATTATTATTAACAAGTAGGAAAGTATAGTCGGGCATGGCCGACCATATGATACCAGCCTACACCACTGAGTATGTTAAAAATGTGGATTATATTTAAAAACAAAGCATTTAAGTTGTTTACCTTAATTCCGAAATATTTTAACAATTTCTTGAAAAAAGTGATTTTCTAAAAGAGAGGTTATATGGGGGCAAGGGTAAATATGGGCCTATCCTTATAAATTTTGGTACATGGCTTTACGTTTACATTAGAGTTATGTATGCTGGATTTCATAGTGATACTAGTGTTTAACCCTTTCCGTGGTTTTGTCGAATATATTCGACATTACAGTAGACTCTGTTTTTAAGCATTTTTTGGGTATAATATTTAACTTTAGTTTTAATTTTTTTCTTTTAGATGAAAATGAGGACTTTATTATATTTATAATTGAGATTTTGAAAGATCTTCCGTATTTTAAAGTATTTAAAAATCAGATTTTAAGAAATTGTCACTTATGACTACTTTTTAAAAAGTGCTTTTTAACAACGTTAAAAATCAGCTTCATTTAATGGCCAAAAAAATTGTATTTTAGGAGATCGGACTATGCGGATTTAAATTGTATTGCATTGAAAGAAGTTTAAGAAGACATTTTACAAAAGAAAATTCATAAAAAATATTGGTGGTACTTTTT